TCTTTCCTTTTCCTAGAAAATTCAAGACAGGGATGGATGTGGTCCGTTGATACGAGGTACGCTCTAATTTATTGAACAACATGAATAACAATCGCCCCAAATATTATTACATTATTATAACAAACAAATTTTCTTGCGTTTCTGTTTCAAACTCAAAAGTCCATAAAGCATGAATTAATTCGTTTGACCAGTGAATGACCCCCCATCGTGTTTACCTCTTCTAATTTTTTTTTTTTTTAACAATGGAAAATTTAGGAGAATGGAATAATTTTCTATTATATAATAAGTGTCTTATTTATAGATTAAATTTTGACAAACTAAGAATATAATGAGTGCATTTTGTCACCCTAATTGAGGCGCGTGTTTACCGCGTCTATTTGAAATGGTATACAGAGACATTTATATTAATAATTTAGATAAAATTAATAGTTAATAATATAGATTATATACATATAAAAAAATATTTTTTAAAATTCTTAATTAAAAATATCACTTTTTGAAATTAATCAAAAAATCACTTTTAAAAAATTTTAATAAAAAATACTATTTTTCTAATTTTATTATTTAAAAATTAATTAAACGTTGGCGTCAAGGTGGCACATGAATTTAATATGTCTGTTGAAACCCATAAATTGCTGAGTGTGAAAAAAATTGATTGGCACAACATAAGCTCCTTAAATTTGTTAATGCACGGTCTCGACACTAATAAAGGTGGTGTTGACATCCAACCCGTGTTGGGGTTTCCTTTTTGATAGAGTTTCGGAAAAATTAATTAAAACTAGTCTATAAAAAATTGACATGCAAATTTAAAAAATGATTGAAGTAGTGGGAAGAGTCTCTCCAAAATAACTCACTGGCAATTAAAATAGTTTTGAATTCTTTATTTATTTATTTATTTATTTAGTTTGGTATAAAAATATTATTATTTTAATTATCAATAAGCTAGTTTGGAGGGATTCTTCCCACTACTTCAATCCTTTTTAAGATTTGTTTGCTAATTTTTTATGCAATAATTTTAATTAATTTTTTCTAAACTCCACAGAAAAAGAAAACCCCCCCCCCCCC